CTTGTTTAAAGGTTTTTTTCTTTGCTGCTTTTTAGAAATGTAGGTACAACAATATCAGTACAAAACATGGAGTAAGTGGGGAATGGGGAAGGAGGAAATAAATGCTTTTCTTTTTTTTTTTTTGTTTTTCCTCCCCCCACCAGCTAGAAAGCTGGACATAGTGATGTTTTATTTTCTATACAAAACTGGATTTTTTTTTTCCTTTAGTTAATGATACAGTACAGGCAAGCAACTGTCAGTTAGCAGTGACAAGGAAAGAGGTTTCTTGCATTGTAGGAGCAAAACAGGAATCAAGAAGAACTAACTCCAACAATTCAGCTGGTGACTCTCTGAAGTGGACTGTAAGGACTCAGCCTGATGAGAAAACGTTGCCGATTTTTTTTTTTCTTCTTCTTTTCAGATTCAGAAATAACTCAGCTTCTTTTTGTGACAAATCTTTGCAGCATCACCCTTTGCGGATGATACCTTCCACTCTCCTATGCAACTGGAGACTGAAACTGGAGCTGCTTAAACAATCAGTCCTTTGAACTGTTTATGTGAATCATGCCTGCTGACGTGAAAGTGTGCATTTGTTCTCAGCCTGGTTCACAGCAGCACTGTTTGTCTGTAAAAGCATTTTGTGTGCAGTAACAGTCCTGAAGAGTTGTTCCTCTCACTGCATCTTTCTGTAAATATTGCTAGAAGTAGAATTTGTTTTAACAGTAAACAGCAGAATGCCTGGGCTGCTTTTCTATGTTGAACTTCCATAATTTAGACCATCTTAGTGTAAACAGTTTATATTTTATAAGATTCAGTTTGGTTTTATTTTTCTATTTTTAATTATGTACATATAACAGAATAAATATTAAAATAAATTGTATTATTTATGAAACGTGACACAGTGACACTGCTTTCCATTTGGCAAGCACTGATGTTCCTTGTGGTTTCCTTTAAGGGGAAAAGCGAGAACTTTCATAATTAATTCAAAACAGCCTCTCAACTTCAGATGAGCAGGTTATAACCCAGGGGGGAGGGATTGGAAGGATGGGGGGAAAAAAATGTGGGTGAAGGAGGAAAGTGCTTTTCTCTAGGGGCCAAGGGACATTTCCTCTTACTACCTTTCTAAAATTCATTTGTCTTTTTGCATTATTTCTTCATTGTGTGATGTATTTCTTACAACTTTTTTCCTTAGTACCCTTTTACTTTCTTTTCTGTCCTCTTCTGTCACACAGCCTCATCTCCTATACCTTTCCCTCCTACTGGTACCTCCTTTTTGTCCTGTGTGGGAAGTGATTCACCTCCTTCACCCACCAGTACCCAGCCTGATGTTTGGTCTAGCACAGACCCCATAAAGGTCATGTTGTTGCCACCTTTCCTAAGTGACCAGACACAGCATGTTAGTGTCCGGGGACCTTTCCACCTCTTCTGCCAAGCCACAGGTAAGCTGGAGGACCCCTGTATAACCCATCATGGTCTGCATTAAAGGCTGTACATGTCACCATGTACTGTGTAAGTTTTACTTTTCTGATGCTGGGGGGAGGGGGGGCTGTTGGAGGGGCAAAGGGGAGAGAAGAGAGAGACAGTTTCAGGGTACCACTTCCTGATTTTATTAGGCTAGAGTAATGTTTAGCAGGTAGATATTTTCGTTGTCAGTGTGTATGCAATTTAAAAAACACACTTGTATTGGATTTGAATTTGGCATATTTTCTGGGCCAGGTCAGTTGTTCTTTTTTCATCTTATTTTAAATGATGAAGGACTTACAGTAACAATGAATTCCATTTTATGATGGATGTATTATCTGAGGTGTACAGGAGAAGGAAAAAACTATTTTCTCCATAGCAATTCACTTACTTTCCAGCTTTTGTTTGGATTGTTACGAATTATAGTTTGTGATTGCTGGTTTAAGCTGAGTGTGATTTAATGGATCTGAACAGGTCCTTGGATGTAACCTTGTTCCTTAAAATAAGAGATTACATAGATGGAGGAATTTCAAAAACTAGCATGGGTTCACATTGGTCTCAGTGTGAGTATTATCTGGAGTCAGATCAAAATGCATAAATTCTTATTAGTGTAGATCCTAACAAAGGCATTGTTTTTATTACCGTGGCTAAAAAGAGCCACGGGTGGGATGAAGGTTCTTTCATAGAATGGAATAATTTAGATTGAAAAAAGGCCTTTCAGCAATAATTTGTTCACTTTTTCTATAGACAGTTCAGAAGCTTCATTGTGCAACATGAAAAACACTATAATAGCATAAATAGCACAAAAGATTTAAACAGACATGGAATTTATTTTAAAATTTCTTTTTCTTTCATCCAGCTGTGCCTTTTTTAAAATGATGCTCATGCTACTTTTGAAAATTGTGATTAATTGTATTTGCCTTGGCAGTGAAGGAAGGAGCAGTGTCCTAAAGTCAGCCTGTGGAATTCACTCCTCAGGAGGTGTAGGGGTGCATATTGGAAGAAACTGTCAGAGCCACCTGACATCCAGGAGATGCAGTGATGGCACAGGCAGGGCCAAGGTGCCCCAGCTGTCCAAGCGCTTCTGATTCATCTCAGGAAGCAGTGAAAGACCCAACTTTGTGTTACAGATGGGGGATTTACTCCCTTTGGGAAACAAGCAATTGGCTGATACATCACACCCTTTTCATACCCAGAATTACAGCTCTAGTCTGTTGATTTAAAAAAAAAACAAACACCACCCCCCCAACCCAACAAATGCAAACCATCCTCCTGAACTGACGCAGATACTTTGCATCTTTCTGGGTTCTGCATGTGAGGGTGTATACATTTATCCTGAGTGGGGGGTGACTAAGCAAGTGCTTTTGCTAGGAAAGTCTCTGCTTGGATTTATTCACATTTCTTCAGTGTCTGTTGATATTTCTTTATATAAACATTGCTATGATGGAACTTTATTTCCCTTGGCTGTGAATATAAGGAGAAATGTGTCTACAAGGAGCAGAAAGGTTAAGTGAGACGGGCAGAGAGTTAAATGTTGTGCCTGGTTGTCTGCATAAAGGATATGGTATCAAGCCAGTGTATGATGCAAATATATATGCAAAAAAAAAAAAAAAATCACATCATCCAGTCAAAAACCTCAAGCTTATTTTGACTTGAGTTTCTAATGTTATTTTATGAGAACTGGCGAATCTCTTCCTTTTTTTTAATTGTAAATGTCTTGTTTCAAGCTGTCTGGAAACTCAGCAGGAGTTGGTGAGTTCTTTTGCTCATCTCTTACTCATCCCACATGTTTTAACCTGAAAGCTAGCTTGGGGTAGCACTCTACAACCTTGTAACTGTCTGATTTCAGCAAGGTGAAGCTGAAGTGGATAAAGCACCAACAGCCACTTGTGACATACTGTTATTTTTTTTTCCTGAAAAAAACCCTAGTTTGTCAAGAATGGGGTACTCCTGCCCCACCTGAAGAGGAAGGAATAAATCTGCCTGCTCAGCTTTTCTCCCAGTTCCTTTCTCTCTGCTCCCCTGAAGAGTCCCACATTTCTCCAGAGACCTGTTTGCACATGGGCAAACATCAGGCTTCCTGTGTACTTTCTCTACTAGAATTTTCTCTCCCATTACAGAATTTTTTAAGCCCTTTACAGACATTTTAGGCGAGCTTCAAATAAATTGAATGAAATACTACACCATCTGGTTCAGGGGGGACAGACAACTGATGGTGTATGCACCTGCTTTATAAATTTCTCTGTTGAAATTAGGTACAGTAGAAACAGGCTTTTCCCAGCAGTTTTGGTTCTGCTTGGAGATGCTTTACTGACACCTCCTCCTCTGGTATTAGAGCAGTATATCCATGTTTGTAACTTCCCAGACAAGTGATCATGCTGAGCAACAATTTAAATGCTTATTTTATAGTAAGACACGCTGCAAAACACCATTCTTTATGTGTATTTCTGCCCTGTAGATTCAGACTCGCTGTGTCCGTGGTGTCACATCTCCCTTTAGTTCGTCTGCAGCTGGAGGTTTTACATAATGGGTTATTGTCAGCCTTGGTAAAATTACCCCAGGAGTGTGAACAATAAAAGTCCTGTGAACTTGGCAATATACTCCAAAGCAGTTGCTACTTCATGGAGCTGCTGAGATGGGTATGTGATAACACCCACACGCAGTGCCTGTTCCCTGTGGTTATACTCTTGTAAAGGGAGTGCCAGAAAGCTTCCCATCCGTGGAGGAAAAAGATCTGTAACTTCCAAGAATCAAGAGTTGCGAGTGGTTCAGTAGAGATTTCTCTCTCTCTCTTGCTTTGGTGAAGCCTCAAGTTGTGCTGAGAGGCACGGAGAAGGGTGGAGAAAGTATAAACTGCAATGCACTGCTCTTTACTAAGCACTGCTGCAAGACTCAAGGTGCCTGCAGAGTGAGTCTGAAAGAGACCCTGCCCCGGGCTGTGTGCAGGAGCCCCAGGGCTGCCTGTGCTGCTGTCACCACGTCCTCGTGGGCTCAGCAGAAGGGCTCAAAAGCCCCTGTAACCCTTGGTGTGCCTGATGGGTTTTTTTCCTGGGAGGAGGAGCTTGTCTGTCAGAGACTGACTGACCCACATAAATAAGTCATAAGTTGTGCGTGGGTTTTTTTGGCATCCTTTACAGGGTTGCATGATCCGTGGAGCCCTGGGGTGATGTGGTCTGGCTGGGAGCTCAGTCAGGAGAGGTGTGGAGGAGTGCAGCACCCAGAGCAGGATGAGCCTGCGTAGGAATGTGCTTCGTGTGAGATAAAATGTTAGTGCAGTATTACCAACCACAGCACTTAAATCACAGCGTGCATCTTAAAATGGAGTTTACCAGGGTTGTTACTTTTTTACTCTTACAAGAACACAAATACCAAAGAGCAGTTTGCCGTGAGCATACACTTGTGGTTCATAACCAATTGCATTTGGTGTCTCTTAATGTGAATTATGGCTGTGGAGAGATACAAAGCAAGGTTTTTGAAACCTGAAAATGTTTTAATTAGTAGCCTAGAAAAGGTAAGCTCTGCATGTCTCAAGGCAATTCAATCCACGGCACAAATATTTTAAAACTTTATAAAATCTTTTAAATTTTTATGCAGTGTATTTTGAGATTTACACAGTGATGCTTTCCTGAAGCAATGCTCTTGACTTAAATTTGCATGCTTGCTTAGTAATCCACGTTCAGTTTGTCCTCATGGGAATGCTGAATTTGGACCTTGTTAAACAATGCCGTATCCCACTTTTATGAATTAGCTTCTTGGGTGTTTTGTCTCGTGCTGTGTGCCTGTGACTCAATTTCAGTGTCTCTGGCTGCAGTAATCTCACAGTTGCCGTTTCTTTGAAATTTTGTAGTTTTGTT